CACATCCCAAAGGCAGCTACTCAGCTGCTTGTGGTAGATCCCACCATGGAGTTGATTGCCAGTCTCATCATGGGGAATAACTACCACCAGCTGCCCAGCTAGTCAACCAGGCCCAGCCAAGCTGACATACAAATTTAACTACCACACATGGTCCCCCCAAATAATACCTACCCTTACTTTGTACAACTGCCTGGGTGATACAAATGGTTTGTTCTCAGCTACTAACCTAAAGATTGGCAGCTCAAACCTACCCAGCAGCACTGTGGAAGAAAGATCTGGCTGTGTCCATAAAGATTAAACTCACTGCCACCAAGTTGATTCTGACTCAAAGCAACCCCCTTTGGGTTTCCAAGGTGGTAAGTCTTTAGGGAAGTAGAATGCCTAGTCTTCCTTCCTCAGAGTAGCCAGTGGGTCCGAACCATCAAACTTCTGGTTAGTAGTCAAATGCCTTAGGCATTGTACCACCAGAGCTCCTTCCATAAAGATTAGAGCCAAGAAAACTCTATGGAGCAGCCCTACTCTGTATACATGAGGTCTCCGAGTCAGAATTGACTCCATGGCAATGGGCTTTGTTTTGTTTTTATTTTGTACAATCTACTCTGGTATGTGTTTTTTTCTCGGGGGGGGGGGTTGGTTTAAGGCTCATTTTGACCCACTAAATTTAAATTCTGACCCACTAGTGGGCCGATAAAGGAGCTCTGGTGGCTCACTGCCTAAGATATTTGACTGCTAACCAGAAGGTTGGCGTTTCAAACCCTTCAGCCACTCCGCATAAAGAAGACTGGGAAATCTACTTCTGTAAAGATTTACCACCTCGGAAACCCAAAGGAGGTTGCTATGAGCCACAATCGACTTAAAGTCAGTGAGTTGGGTTTTTTGGAGGTCCAATAAGAAAGGTTAAGCCATCAGCTGTTAACCAAAAGGTTAGCAGTTCAAACCACCAGTGGGTCTGCAGGAGAAAAAACCTGGTGATCTGTTCCTGTAAAGCTTACAGCCTAGGAAAGCCTACGGAGCAGTTCTACTCTGTCCTATAAGATCACTCTGAGGAATCATCGCAACGGTACACAACAACAAGAGTGGGCCAATATCTGTAGCTTGAATACAATTTCTCTACTTGACTTTATACTTACTTCTTCCTCCTACTTCTTAGGTCAGGAAGACAGAAGAAGGGAAGGGAGAAAGGAGGGGTATATTCCTCCTCAGTGCCGCTCACTTGGCACTCACAAGAGAAAGAAAACCCTTAGGCTGGCAAAGCAAGCTTAGCAGATAACTGGGTTGCAGAAGAAGGCTTCCCAGAGATCTCTAGGGTGGAAGTTGAATGTAGAGCTGCCCCACTTTGGAGTGGCCTCCTTGATGCTGGGTAGTGACCCAGCTGTCAGGCCTTCTACCCAGGTAGGTCTGATCCTCTCTCATCTGTCTCTTGGGACTTCACCAACCACCTTCTCTGCACTGAGGACCCCTGCCTGGGCAATAGTTCTTATTCAAAATTATGGTGTTTTTTTTTTTTTTTCTGGATGAGGATCTTGGCCACCAAAATGCTGCTTCAACTTCAGAACATTTTTAGCTAATGGCTACTGTTCTATCCTTCCAGGTGGCCTACAAAAATCAAAACCAAACTCACTGCCATCAAGTCAGTTCCAACTCATAGAGACCCTCACTGGGTTTCCAAGGCTGTAAATCTTTACAGAAACAGACTGCTTCATCTTTCTTCCATGGAGCCGCTGGTGGATTTGAACCACTGACCTTTTGGTTAGCAGTCAAATGCCTTCACCACTATATCACTAGAGTTCCTTAGGTGGTCTACAGAGGGGAATTTATATTCTTATTTCATATATAAATATAAACATATAATAATATAGATATAGTAATGTATATATGTAATTTGTATTAACCATCATATAGTTATAATAACCATAAATATTATTAACAATAGGTCAATATATATGATTAAGACAAATGACTTCCTAACACACAATAAACACTGTTTACTCACTATTTTCTTTGCACTCTTAAACAAAAGTATTATTGTTAGATGCCATCAAGTCAATTCCAATTCATGCTGACTGCAAAAAAGGACATGAAGGTCCCATCTTCTGGCCTCCTCCAATCTCACCAGGGGAAAACAGAGTCACCATCAGCAGCCCAAGGCTTATTCCTCTGAGGCCAGACATGCCTTTTACAACCTCCAGCCTTTTACCAATTCTGACACCAACCGTCCCTCCCATGGCACTCACTATTTCTCTGCTAGGTTCGAGAATTTGTTGCAATGGCCACACAAAACTCACAGACAATACTCACGATTATGGGGTTTATTAGGAAAGTAACAGGCTACAATTCAGGTCCAGGAATGTGCTCAGGATACAGTTCTTGGATCAGGACAGTCTCCCCTCTGGTATGCCCACTGGCACACCTCTCTGGCCCTTGATCTCTCAGCCTGGGCTCTGCCCTGCTTGGGCAATTGTTACAAAGCTCTTTTAGCTCTGCCAATTGGTACACCTAGGTGCACCCCACTCCATCAGCAAGCCTCCTGCCCAAGGACATTTAGCTTTCTCGCTCTGTGGGCCAGGGAAGCCTGTCTCCTGCCTCTTGGTTGCACTGAGACCATCTCTCTGACAAGTGTCACTCTCTGCCGGGGCATCTCTCTCTGCCACGTGTCTCTCCCAAGACGGTCCAGTGCAGGGATCTTGGGTCCAAGGATGTACTCTACTTCACCTCCAGCTCTTCTTTCTTGATGGCAACAAGATCCCCCTCTCTATTTTTAGGAAGGCTCATTTTAAGCCTGGCAGAGTTGACAAAACTAACCAATCCCAACATCAGAATGCTACACACCTTATTTGCATGGTCCCACCCAGTAATCAGGTGGGAGTTACAAAGACTATGGCTAGAAAAGCTATACCGAATAATTCACTGCACCACACTTACCCCATGTGTATAGATTAGAACTGCTCCAAAGATTTACAGCCTTGGTTTTCAAGGCTGTGACCTTTCAGAAGCACATCACCAGGCCTGTCTTCCCAGGTGCCTCTGGGTGGATTTGAACCACTAACCTTTTGGCTTGTAGTTGTGCCACCCAGGAACTCCTAAACAAAAGTAGTGAGCTCAAAAAGGGTGAGGGATACGTGAAGGCGACACCACTAGTGCATGGGGTCTTACCTTGAGCACTGTTCATCTGTCCTCTCCTTCCTCCCCTTTCTTTCCTGAGAAGGCACTGCCCCGTGGACTATGACTTGGAAGCTGATAATAAAACTCATGGTGTCCTCTCTCCTGTTCAGGTTTGGAAAATTGCTCCTGCTCCTCCCGTCTTTGAGATTTATCACTTCTGAACGCATTGAACTCCTCTTTTTCCGTAAAACCATAGGGAATACTCCAATGGAGAAGCTCCTTTGTGACATGTTCAAAAACTAATGGGGTGGAACAAAAACTTTGGGAAAGTTTGTCTCTATCTAATAAAGCTAAACATTTGCCTGCTCTTTGACCCAGCAATACCACTTATACATGTACCCAGCAGAAATATGCACCAGAAGACATTATAAGAATGTTCATAGCAGCTTTATTCATAATGAAAAAAAAAAAAACTGTACATCAACAGTAGAATGGGTTAATAAATTGTAGAAATAATGGAATACTGTTATTGTTGGGCACTGTCAAGTTGATTCTGACTCCTAGTGACCCCATGTGACAGTATGACAGAGTAGACCTGCCCCTTAGGTTTCTAGGTTGTAATCTTTAAAGGAGCAGACTGCCACTTTCAGTAAGCAAAGTCGTGTATCTCAGATTGTCATGAGCCTTCCTCCAGTCCTGATGCCACGTTCTTCATAGTGTCCAGCTTCTCAGATTATGTGCTTAGCATACAGATTGAATAGGTATGGTGAAAGGATACAACCCTGACACACTCTCTTCCTGATTTTAAACCATGCAGTATTCCCTTGTTATGTTCTAACAACAGCCTCCTGGTCTATGTACAGGTTCCTCGTGAGTAGAAATGAAGTGTTCTGGAATTCCCATTCTGCTCAATGTTATCCACAACTTGTTATGACCCACACAATTGAACGCCTTGGCATAGTCAATAAAACACAAGTAAACATCTTTCTGGTATTCTTTGCTTTGAGCCAAGATTCATCTGACATCAGCTATGATATCCCTCGCTCCACGTCCCCTTCTGAATCCAGCTTGCATTTCTGGAAGTTCCCTGTCAATATATTGCTGCAACCATTTACGAGTTATCTTCAGTAACATTTTACTTGCATGTGATATCAATGACATTGTTGCACAAATTCCACACTCTGTGGCATCACCTCTCTTTGGAATGGGTACAACTATGGATCTCTTCCAGTCAGTTGGCCAGGTAGCTGTCTTCCAAATCTCTTGGCATAGATGAGTGAATGCCTCCAGTGTGGCATCTGTTTGTGGAAACATCTCAGTGGATATTCTGTCAATTCCTGGAGTCTTGTTTTTCATCAGTTCCTTCAGTGAAGCTTTGACATCTTCCTTCAATACCAATGGTTCTTGATCATATGCCACCTCCTGAAATGGATGAACATTGACCAATTCTTTTTGGTATAGTGACTCTGTGTATTCCATCCATCTTCTTTTAATGTTTCCTGCATCATTCAATATATTGCCCATGGAATCTTTCAATATTGCAACTCGAGGCTTAAATTTTTTTCTTTAGTTCTTTCAGTTTGAGAAATGCCAAGCGTGTTCTTCCCTTTTGGTTTTCTAACTACAGGTCTTTGGACATTTCATTATAATAATTGATTTTGTCTTCTCAAACTGCTCTTTGAAATCTTCTGTCCAGCTCTTTTCTTGTTGTTTCTTCCCTTTAACTACTCTCTGTTCAAAAGCAAGTTTTAGAGTGTTTTCTGACATCCATTTTTGTCTTTTCTTCTTTTCCTGTCTTTTTAGTGACCTTTTGCTTTCTTCATGGATGATGTTCTTGATGTCCTCCCACAATTCCTCTGGTTTTCAGTCAATGATGTTCAATGCATCAAATCTATTCTTTAGATGGTCTCTAAATTCAGGAGGAATATAATCAAGCTTATATTTTGGCTCTCATGGACTTCTTTTAATTGTCTTCAGCTTCAACTTGAACTTGCACATGAGCAGTTGGTGGTCTGTTCCACAATCAGCTCCTGGCCTTGTTTTGGCTGAAGATATTGAGATTCTCCATTGCCTCTTGCCGCAGATATACTTGATCTGATTCCTGTGTACTCCACCTGGCAAAGCCCAGGTGTATAGCCACCATTTGTGTTGTTGAAAAAAAGGTATTTGCAATGAGTAAGTTATAGGTCTTAAAAATTCTATCATGCGACCTCCAACGTTATTTCTATCACCAAGCCCATATTATTATGTATTATGGTAGATCTTGATTTTAAAAAAAAGTGAGAAAACAAAAAAAGGAAAGCTAATGTTGTCCAGACTGTCCCTTTCCTTCTCTGAGCCCAGGGAGGTGAATGAGGACATTGAAGGAGGAAGCACAAGGTCAGAAGTTCTATCACAGTTTCCACACCAAGTCAGAGTCCAGGTGAACTCAAACCAAGTGGAAAATCTCCTACAGATTCAACAGCCTGGATTCACTCCAGGTGGCACCCACCATCCCACATTTTTCTATCTTTTCCTTTTCCTTTCTGGCCCCTTGCAAACATTTATGAGCACCAGCCACCTCAAGGCACACAAGGCAGCTACAGGCACTTTTTGTGAAAGGTAATCTCCACCACTTCTTAATTCCTTCTGGAGAGGCAAAGGTCAGACAAACCTAATCCTTTTCAAAGACAGACCCAGAAGACCTGGGAAAATACTTTAAAAAACATATATAGTAATAGTTCACATTTATAAAGAAATTTATATACTGGGTAGTGATGTGAGCATTTACTAAGCATTGTTATTTAATCCTCAGAATAACTCTGAGCGTGGGACCAATTATCCCCATTTATAAAAGAAAAAAAAAAAGAAGAAGAAGAAGAAGAAGCCAACTGGGGCTTAGAAGAGGACTCACACCTCGGCAGCATGACTCTTTGTAACTCAGCTGAACTTCCTCCCACTCCCTGCTCTACTCCTCAGTCTATCGCCAACAGCACCTGCCCCCCAATCAGCTGAAAAATTCTGTTGCATTTTCTGCCTTTAAAGAAGAAATGATTGATGTCAAGAAGGGAAAGATCACATGAGAAATGTGAGTCATCCAAGGGGTTCTCTGCCCTTTGGCCTGTGTTTGAATTCTCCTGGGTGACAAAGACAGAGTACCTAAATGGAAGGAGGATGGTTGGGAACTCTCTGCTCTGGAAATGACAACAGCTAAGCTGGTGCCTAGAGAAGAATGAATATGACAAATGATGCACACCTTAAGCCCTGCCCATTTAGGCCTTCAAACTACTTGAGACTCTCAATCTTTTAAAATCATCACACTTCCCTGTTATTTGGGCCACCTAATATCTATAAACAGTTGACACCGACTTATAGAGACCCCATGTGAGTAGAACTGCCCCATAGGGTCTCCTAGGCTATAATCTTTATGGAAGGAGATCATTAGGTCTTTCTCTTGCAGAGTTACCAGGTAGGTGCAAACCATCAACCTTTCAGTTAGCAGTTTGCACCACTAAAACCAACAAAACCAAACTCATTGCCATCAAGTTGATTCCGACTCATAGTGACCCCCATTTGTGTTTCCAAGGCTGTAAATCTTTACAGAAGCAGACTGCCTCATCTTTCTTCCACAGAGCAGCTAGTGGGTTTGAACCACTGACCTTTTGATTAGCAGCCACGTGCTTTAACCACTACACCACCAGAGCTCCTTACTTGCACCACCAGGGTTCCTTAGCTGTTGGTTGTTGTTATGTGCCATCAAGTCATCTCTGACTCGGAGCAACCTTAGGTACAACAGAACGAAACACTGCCCAGAAACACTGCCCAGTCCTGTGCCAGCCTCATGATCCCTACTATACCTGAGCCCATCACAGCAGCCACTGTGTCAATCCATCTTGTTGAGGACCTTCCCCTTTTTCGTTGACCCTCCACTTTACCAGGCATGACATCCTTCTCCAGAGAATGGTCCTTTCTAACAACATGATCAAAGTGGATGAGATGAAGTCTGGCCATTCTCACTTCCAAGAAGCATTCCAGCTACACTTGCAAGACAGATTTGTTAGTTCTTTTAGCAGTCCATGGTATTTTCAGCATTCTTTGCCAACACAACCCAAAAGTGTCAACTCTTCTTTGGTCTTCCTTATTCATTGTCCAGCTCTCACATGCATATGAGGCAATTGAAAATACCATGGCTCGGGTTAAGCGCATCTTAGTCATCAAGGAGATATCTTTGCTCTTCAGCACTTAAAGGAGGTCTTTTGCAACAGATTTGCCCAACGCAATACATCAGGTTCCTTATAATGCCATTATATTTTTCAATTCCCCATCAAAAGCTTTTATTCATAAGATTTAAAGGCCTAAAGAAAGCCTAAGCAAAGTCATCTTAGCAAGAAACATGGTTGAAATATGACCATATAGGCCCTGCACATTAATCTTACAGCCTGGATTTGAAAACATGAAAAGACTGTGAAGGTAGTCTGCTGAAGTCCACAGACTAGTGTCTAGATGTAGAAGCAATTCTGCCATGGGGAAGAGACTGTTTGGACTTTCCAGGAGGAAGCCTTAGAGAATTAACTCCGGGCCATTGAGTCAATTCCAACTCATAGTGACCCTCTAGTTGGACTGCCCTATAGGGTTTCCAAGGAGCTCTGGTAGCATAGTGCCTAAGGCACTTGACTGATAACCAGAAGGCTGGCGGTTCAAACTTACCAGCCACTCCTCAGAAGGAAGACGGGGCAATCTACTTCCGTAGTGATATTGCTAGGAAACCCAAGGAGGGGTCGCTATGAGTCGGTCGAGGGCACATAACAACAACAACAACAACAACAATAACATAGGGTTTCCAAGGCTGTAAATATTTACAGAAACAGACTGCCTCATCTTTCTCCTCTTGAACAGCTGGTGGGTTGGAACCACTGACCTTTCAAGGTTAGCAGCTGAGTGCTTAATCACTGCACCACCAGGGCTCCTTCTTGGAGAGAGGTGATATATAAGCTGGATTGTCTGTTGTCAACCTGGTATAACATGACTCCTTTCTAGGGTCTTGTCTTCATTACAGAGAAGTCAGGAACTACATTTCCCAGAATCTCCTATAATTCTGGGTTCCAGTTTGCTAATGAGAGGCACTCACAGATTTGGAAAGTAAGAGCAGAAGCCATAATTCTCTGGAAGCAGTTGCAGTCAGATGTGTGGGAAGATGGGAGATTTCACAACAGCTTCCTGCCAGCTCTTGATCAGAACTGCAGTAGCTTCCGTGTAAGCTTTTGAGCACTTTGGAACTTTGGGCTGAGACCTGTGTAGTCTTTCTTGACTTTCTTGGGAACTTG